TGCACAGGAGCAGCACGCGGCTGGTCTCCCATCCCCCAGGGGTGTGGAGCAAAGGCCTATAAGACCAGCAGTGGCCGTCTATAGACAAAATACAGCAACACTGGGGCGATCCGTCGCCCCACACCGCAGACAGCAGATGCCACCTTGGCAAGTCGAAGACATGTTTGATATCAGATGTACCCATCGAAGTGGTAAGTACAAGCGTCTCAAGTTCCGGGTTCATGTGTACCAAAATGAGTGCGTGGCAAAGAAACGACGCTGTCCTCCAGTGTGGGCAGATGGAAAGGCGGGGGGGCGCGCCCAGGAGGGGAGGGGAGGCCAGCCCCGCGCCTGAGCCTGGTCACCACGACTCCTGGGCGCGTCCTGGCGGCCCGGGGCTCCGCAGCGGTGGAAGACCCCGGAGATGCGGGAATCCACCCTCTGACCCTCATCCTTCTCCCGAAGGCTCCGTGTCAAGGGCTGGGAACAGCCGCGTGGACTTCCTCGAGGCCCCGTCTTCCCCGGGACCCCCCTGCCCCGTCGGGGCTGTCAGAGGCCGTTGCTGTTCCTGTGACAGAGGGGCGGCTTGGCGAGCTCCAGGACGCCCGCCCGGGACTTGTTGAGGAACTTGGGGGCGCGTCGCAGCAGCCGCTGGGCCTCCGTGAAGGTCTCCGTCAGCTCCTTCTTCCACTGCACAAACTCCGGGTCACTCTAAACGGAAACACACGGAGAAGATGTGACCGCTGCGCCCGCGGGCAGCGCCGACAGGCCTGGACGCCGCTGGCAGTGACCGTGTCCTTGCACCCCCCCCAGGGAATGCTCTCCCTGTTCTTCTGGCCCCTGGCGGGAGGACTAGCTGGTGGGTCTGGCGTGGACTTCCCCGGGTCTCCTTGCAGAGCAAGGAAAGTCACGCCAGCCCTGCAGGCGACCCTCACACCCCCCACTGGGGACCGCGGCCTTCAGTCTGTTAACAGATTACCTCTGATTTCTGATCTTTAAAGCAGCTCAAGTCCATAACACACCAAGGAGGGGTTCTGACAAGTTGAACACACCCTCACATGTCTACCCATTAACTCTCTAAATAAGCTCCTCTCTTCTCTCTCTCTCACACACACACGTCAGTGCCCCATTGAAAAATATTCAGGACCTAAATTTGGGCTACAATAGAGCTCTGGGGGCAGAGACACGGCATTTCCCTTTGAGGGGTCACTTCGCTGTCTCACGTTTGTTTAAATATACCAACCCCGAGCTCAAACATGCCCGAAAGAGCTGGGAAATCGTGTAGCAGATACAATGCTAGGCCCCGAGGAGACGCGGGACGGGTTTCCTGATAGACAGGGCAACCAAATTTCTTCACGGGCTTCCCCCTCACCGGGGCTGATAGCTGCTTCTCGGAAAAGAAAATGAATTTGCTGAAAACCCTGTACCTTAGGGCTTCCTTTCTACGCTTGTAAGTGGCCGAGCACGGGGCGAGAAAATGCTCTCTAACCGAGCAGCCAACTCTTCTGAAGACAGACACACAGACAGAATTGTTCTAAATTGCACCTACGGGGGGCGGGGAAAAAAACATAAAAACTCACCTCACACTGCAAGACAAACTGCTTCCCTCCTTTTATCCTCAACAAAATGCATTTTTTGTCCTTGATCTGAGTTTCCTCCACAGACAGGATCTGTTCCATTGTCAGCAAATTTTGCTAGTCACAGAAATAAGAACGATCGATTACTTCCCAGCGTTCGTGACTCCTTGAGTTAAATTCATACGTAACACCCCGAGAACGGCCGGCTCAGACGTAAGTAAACAGAAAGAAAGCTGCCGTTTTTCTTTCTTTGCTGCTGTTCTAGAGCCGGCGTCAAAGCAGCACGGACGAAAGCGCCGACTAACAGCATCTCAAAAGAAATCTGCAAGGAGAGGGGGGTCTCTACGGCCAAACAGCAAGCTGTTCCCTCCCCGCGGCGCTGATCCTCGAGCGACTGTGAGTCGCGTTCCTTCTCGCACCGCGAGCTCATCCTAACTGTCAGGACGGCAGCGAGGGAACGCGGCAGGGCTGCTACGCGTGATCTACGGGAGCCGAAGGCGTGCGGCTGGGTCCTCCCGCCGCAGCTCAGCAGACGCCCCGCAGCGCAAGCTGGTCGGCCGACGCCGTCCTGATAGCATCTCAGGGACGTTATAAATGCCGGCTGTCGCGCTGGGCCTATAGCATTATTGCTCAGGGAGAAGGCTATCGTGTCGCGAGTACCTTACCATTTTATGTTTTTTGGGGTAAATACTCCAGGAATCCTAAACGAGAAACAACACCATCGTGAATGCTCATTCGCACCTACGAATGAATCCACCCCGTGCACGTCACGTAGCTTCTCAAATGGAACATTACACGTGGACTCTTTTTATTGCATCTGACGTTAAACAAAGGAAGATTTTTTTTTTTTCTTTAGTTTTCAAATACCCTGAGAAGTGGGACAGGTTCCTTTCAATGTGGACAACGGGGCCTAGTGTACTGTACCCAGGGCCACTTCTTATCTGGAATTATATATAATAAAAATAAATTATATATGAATTACAACTCAGGTGCTGTGTGCACATATATCTATATATTACGATATACGCTATGTGATATTACACACGATATTATATGCCAGCACCTGAGCTATAATTCAGGACCCCCCACAAAGGGTCTTAGTAATTATAACTCAGAACCTAGGTGCGTTCGTTTTTAGAAAATGCCTTCCATGGCATTAGCAATAGCGAAAAGATCTTGTGTGTTTATAAAGAATGGGCTAGCATGTAATAGCAATCGCCCATAATTAAACAGCAACTCCACCAAACGGGTTTATAAAACACACTCCGAAGTCAAGTACACAAGACCCGGGCTTCCTTCTTCCCACACTGCCGACCACTGGAGAGCGGACGGCCAGTTTTCCAATACATCCAACAGCGTGATCATGCTTTTCACATCCGGAACCAATGACCTGCTCCCCTGGCCCCCGGGGACTAGCCATTCCCTCCCCAAGAACACAGACTTATCTCCTATGGCGACAAGCTCTGGTCTCCTCGCACAGCGGGCGCGGACTGAATGCTGCCTGGCTTGCTAAAACAGACAGTGTGGATGGAAATTTTCTTTTTTTATCTTGTTCACAAACATCAGCTCTCGCAAAGGACCTCAGAGGGCAGATATACCTTCCCGTCCGTTGTATGAAATCCACTTACGAGTTTGCAACAAGGTGGAGACAACGGGGTGCATGGTTTGGGGACTCCGTCTCGGTGCCGAGCGGACCCAGTCGGAATCACCCCTCAGGACCGTCTAGCTGTGTCGTGGGCGCCAGGCCTTCCCTCCCTGAGCCCCGGTTCCCTCTTCATAAAATACGAGATGGGCCCCCAAAGGTTGCTACCTATTAAATGAGCCTCTTTTTTAATAGCATCTCGTTGAAGAGAAATAGGCAAAAAAAACCCTGCAGTAGCTGCGATGATTTCTATTTCTCCCATTTTACAGGTGAGGAAACTGAGGCCCAGAGGGTCAGCGTAATGCGCTCCGAGTCCCAGAGTCTCCGTATGACTCCAAAGGCCTAGGTTTCTTTCCCTTTTTGGATCCGCCCAACTGTTCTCCGGCTTTCTTCAGACCTCGCCGAATGGCGCGGCACGTTCTATTTCCCTGTTATTACAAAATCCTTCCTTGACTCGGACGCCCGAAAGCTGCAGCTGGAACGTTAAAATCGCATGCACACAGGTTAAACTCGACGCACAGGGCCTCGGAGGCTCCTTCAGGAGACACGGCCAGCAACGCGAGGTGACCATGACGTTCGACCGAAGGACAGCGCGCGCCCGGGAGCGAGCGTCAGACTTACCCGGGAGTCCCCCTCTCCTCTCCACTCCAGTCTGTTCGGAAAGAGGTAAAAATACCGACGTTGCCACTGTGTGAGGAACGGGTTTCCCAGCTTCAGCATGTAGCCATGCATTATGCAGTCTTTCCCCATGGCGTAATCTGAGGACAGGGAGATGACTGTGCGTTAGGCAGGGTCTGAGACAGGGCGTCTGCGTCAGTCTCGGGACAGAAGGAATCACACGCTTCCTGCAAAACTCACGTTTCTAGCCACACGCAACGCTCCAGAAAAACCATCGTTTCCTCCTAGAAGTGTTTAAACTGAATTTACTGGTGAATAAAATGATGCAGGTTTCGAGTGCAGAATTCTGTACCACGTCGCCTGTATTTACCACCCGAAGTCGGGTCTCCTCCCGTCACCGTATACTGGACGCCCTTTACTACCTCCCCCGGCCCCTCGCCCTGGGGAGCACCCCGCTGCCGTCTGGGTCTGCGCGTTTTTACGTGTTTGTCTCGTTGGTTCGCCTGTGGTAAAACTCATTACTGGGGCCTTTAAACGCAGGGGGTCTGGGGACTGAAAGAACAGAGGTGTCTCCGGCCCTCTCCCCACGCTGACGTTAAATAGCTGCCTCTCGCTTTCCCGGTAAGGTCGTGACGGCTCTTTACTGCTCCGAGAGGGCAGAGGTTGGCCCCGAAGCGGCTCTCCCGCGACACGTGACGGGGATGGAAGAGCCGAGCGGGACGCCCGGGGAGACGGCGGCTGCCTTACCTTCTTCGTGGCCCAGCTGCTTGTGCTTCGCTCTCTTCCTGGCCTCGATTTTATCCGTGTCCGCGTTCACGGTTTCATAAATGGTTTCCACGACTTCCTGCTGCCAGCGCTCGGAGATCACCAACGGGAAGTTCTTGTAGAGCTCTTGGTCGCAATCGAGAAGCTGGTGATTGTGAGAAATCGAGGTGTTTATGGCTCGCCGTACTTACGGACCCGGCAGTGTCCCAACCGCACGCAGGGACGCAACACTGGGATGGCATATAACCGTTTAGAACAGGTGAGTAACTGTGACAAATCCCTACCAATGACAACCAAGCAACCAGGGCCCACAGATGGCTGTGGCTGGTGGGCACTTTGCTCTCGCTCCGGGTCAGGGGCCTCGCCCCAAATTTCCCTACCCTCCTTCATCACACTTTTGCTGATGAAAGCTCCCATAGGTAGCGTTTTCTTTGGAGTACTAAAAGATTTTTTTGACGACAAAATAAAATTTCAATTGTGCTGAGGATATTTTATTTCTATTGAAAACAGACTCCTATAGTTTTAGAAACAACGGAAAGGGAGGAGCCAGGAGAGTTTTCTAACCACCTTCACTTCCTCTGAAAAGCGACAAAAACGAAAGGCAGGCGGGGGCTGAAGTCACCACTCATTCCCCGAACCTTCCGGCGAATCCACGCTTAACGGTATCATCGGCTGAATGAGCGTAAAGCTCAAGACGCCGGGGGAGCTCAGGCGGCCCGGCCTCTGCGGGCCCCCGCGGTAAAGGTCACGCTTCACGACATGTTTCTTTTATGTGCGTCTTTCCCAAGCTCTTAGCAAGCTTCTCGTCCTTCCAAAGGGAGGCTGGCTGCGCTCGGAAAACGAGTGAAGGTGGTTTTAGGTGGCATTGCACTGGGCAGTCTTTTACCTACACCTGGCAGAGGTGCGTGTGTGTGTGCGTGTGTGTGCGTGTGTTAACAGTGCTGCCACCTTCTGGGGGGGAAGAGACCTGGTAGGAAACACCGGGCGGCTACATGAGAAGGGTATAAATGCGGGCGGATGAGAGGAGCCCGGGAGCAGCTGGGAGGGAGGCGGGACCCTGGGGGAGGCGGTGGAAGTGGGGCAGACGAGAGCCTGACATGCAGTGAGACGCCCCGACTCTGCACCCCGAAGAGGGTGACTTCCTCTCGTGACTCACCATCTGTAATCGTACCTTGTCTGCCGGCGAAATAGCAAACCTGAACAAAGGCTTAAAAAATGCAGAGGGTTCTATTTTTTTAAAAACCAGTGATGATTTCACTTTTGATCGACAAATGCGACGTGATTCATGCTGTTTGCTCCTTTCCTCCTGACACGCAGGGATCTGAATACTCGGGAGAACTACCTCTGATTCTAACGCAGCGCGACTGGCTCTGGGGCAGGAGGAGGACGTTTGCTCCCACGCGGCTGTTTTCCCTGCTTCCTACGCATGTGAGTTTTATGTCAATCCCAAATATACCCAAATCAGTAAAAAAAAAAAAAAAAAAAAAAAACAAACACNAAATATACCCAAATCAGTAAAAAAAAAAAAAAAAAAAAAAAATCTGACCACTTTTGCAGCTTTTCAAATATAAACTTATCAGCCCCCGAGAAAGCTTTCAGAGTCGCTAACTCATTTGGGTGGCTGACGCCCACGGTCCTCAGCTGTGTAGATGTCCGTTTGTCAGTGACATCCCACAGGCGGGTCAACACAGAAACAACCGCAAAGCGTAATTTCTAACTACCCCC